TGTATGTATATGTATATATATATATGTGTGTGTGTGAGTGTGTTTAAGGCATAGGCCTGTATATATGTATGTAGCTGGCTCTGTGTGTATAAACGAGGAATATATATACATATATATGTATTGTGTATGTATATATATATATATATATTAACATATATATTTATATATATATATACATATATATATATGTATATGTATACGTATATATATATATATGTATATTTATTATGTATATATATATATATATAATATATATAGTATATATNTATATATATATATGTTGTGTGTGTGTGTGTGTGTGTTCATGTTTCATTTATATTTATATTTCTTCTTTTTTTTTTGGCTCACCCTGTTCACATATAAACCTGTGGATGTGTGCGAATCTAAAACGTGTGCACATATACAGATATATACCAATATGCAAACTGAACTCATTGTGCGTATCGTAGAGCATTACGGACTGCAATTTTGAAACTTCACCCATTACATTTCAAGAAAATGATAGCTTTTTTCTGATGTGTTTTTTGAGAATACTCGCAGAATTGTCTCCAGGGACAGTCAGTCGTAGTTGATGTTGCTAATATAATTTCTATACCAAAACATAGAGAAGCGTGAGAACGAGAGCGTTAATGTTACCAAATGAATAAAAGTTTAAAACGATCCGATAGAAATCCGCGAGTTTGTTCAAATTTCATCACAGATGTGTAATGCCAGCGCCATGTGTGTTTATACTACAAGGTATTTAATAAATCTACATTCGGAGCAACTCTTTCATTCCATTTTAGCATCTGAGCTTTCTATACCGTTTTAGTTTATCTATACTGTTCTAGTATATCTATACCGTTCTAGTTTACCTATACCGTTATAGTTATCTATACCGTTCTAGTTTATCTAAATCGTTCTAGTTTATCTATACCGTTCTAGTTTATCTATATCGTTCTAGTTTATCTATACCATTCTAGTTTATATATACCGTTCTAGTATATCTATACCGTTCTAGTTTATCTATACCGTTCTAGTACATCTATACCGTTCTGGTTCATCTATATCGTCCTAGTACATCTATACCGTTCTAGTTTATCTATACCGTTCTAAACCCGCGAAGTATAAAGTGGGGTCATTTTCCCGGTTCCCTTCCATATGCTTTTATGCGTGCGCCAAAAAACCCAACATTGTTTGATGCCAGTGCCCGGCAGTCTCTCGCTAGGCTTTGGGCTAGCCATATAGTGTTGCCCTATTTTATTGCACGGGGTCGCTTGTATGACCTTAGCTGTACCTGCACCTTTGTCTCCCCTCTGAGACATCCAGGACCACTGCACCGTACACAAGCGATGCATAGCCCCATCTCTCAGTCACATGGTGATGGCACCAGATGTGGCGGTGTATCACAGCAACAGTTGAAAGCAACCCTCCGCTTCGCCTTCTTGCCTATACAATAGCCCAGACAATAGCTGTACCGTTGACACCTACTACTGCGTCAGTCAGCCGTTTTAAACCTAAAACCATTCGAGAAGGGGCTATGGGTTTAAAACTAAAACCATGCGAGAAGGGGATTATGGGTTTAAACCCAAAAATTATGCAAGGAGGGGTTTGATAGTCACTCGTGCATGCATATGGTGTATTGCCGTCTGGGTGGCCTCATGCCATGATGCTACATACTATACTTTCTATGTAAGGGAGTGTAAGTATGTGTGTATTAAGGGAGTGTAAGCTATGTGTGTGTGTGTAAGACATTTGTGCAGTGTCGGGGCGTGTGCGTGTGTATACGAATACTTCTTATGTGTAGGTGTGTAAGTCATCGAGATACTACTCCTTCTGTGTACGTATGCGTGTACAGAGGGTACTCATTCCCTTTAGGGGTCTGAGTATGTGTGAACTACTTCCGTTGTATATATGTGTGTGTACCAGTAACCGTGACCACAGTCCTAACACCTGCAGAATCAGACCTCGTACTATCCTAGGGCTGCAATATACGACATCGCATTGTCTAACAAATGCAGTCGCAGGCGTGGGTACTGTCGTACGCAAACGCCAACCCAGCTGTCCATTCGATCCTCTCCAGAGCGCTGTCTGTCCGAGTCTCTCGTGCTATCGTAAACCCTAGACCCTACATGCTGGCTCAGCAAGACCCCTCCTACGGCAACAGATGTTCTTTTATAAATTGCCAACTACCCTTGTTTCGATATTAACGGGTTGTTATGCACGTCTGTGTATACGAGCGGCAGCGTCCCACAGGAGACGGTTGCCAAGTTATGGGTATTGCCCGTGCCATTTGGTATCAAACCCTGGGCGTATCATTCTATGCCGACCTCCAGCACAGTATAGTAGGGTTTAGGGTTTAGGGTATCTGTGTGTTCTAAACACATTCGTCTACGTGTGGTTTGCATGGGTGAGACTGTGCTTGAGGGTGACCCAGATCTCATATACGACTCCCCATATCTCTGTAGTCCTCGCACCCTCACCATCTCGTGTACACAGTACATGTGGGTGTAGTGGGCCCACCCAAAACCCACGTGCTCATACGGCCCGTACCAGCGTTACCGTACAGTCATATTCGCTCTGATGTTCCTGTATGCTTCCGTACAGGCCTCTAGCTTGTGTAGATACTCCTCAAACGTGATGATCTTATCTGAGTATTGCAAGACACTCACAAAGCCGTATGCCTGTAGTATGGAGTTACATAGCAACCGCGAGATACGTCCGTTGCCATCGTGGAAGGGGTGGATGTAGTGCACCAGCGCAGTGTACACATAGAAGGCTCGTAGAACAGGACTCATATCCCTCATCTGGAAGTGTGGATCGATGGAATTAATCAGAACGTGCTGTGTGGATGGATATGGATTTAATATGTACATATGTATATATGTATATATGTATGCATGTACATATGTATATATGTATATGTATATATGTATATATGTATATATGTATATATATATATAAATATATGTATGTATACGTCATACAAACATACATACATACATTTATACATACATACATACATACATACATACATACATACGACATGCATAACTACATACATACGCCATACATACATACATACATACTACATACATACATATATATATCTATATATATATACAATACATATATATCT